GTTACACGCAATAATGTGAAATAAATTCTTTTAGAATATTTTTTGTTTTATTTCAATTTGTTGTTCTAATATGGGTAGTTTTTATGCATGTAAACGTTTAAATATGTATTCAGTCTAGATTTTGATGTCTCCAGTGCAATATTATTTTATTATTGTAAATTATAGTTCTAAAATAAAAGCTTACTAACCTGATGGACTATGTCAGTTACTTTAGTTCTTCTCCTAGTATCCTCTTTAAATCCTTTATCGTGCAAAGAAAACATAGCCCAGCAGATCAGTAAGCTGACGGTGCAATATGCCAACCATATAGCTCAAGGACTGACATCCGATGGGAAAGAAAAGTTCTTGAGTGGTAGCCTCATACTAGCAAGTGCTTAATTCACCTGCTTGCAGTGCACCTTGTTATCTTTGGAGCGAGGTTTTGTTAGTTGAGAAATATCAGCATATCTAATCAGAATTGTGAAATCCGAATACCATAAACAGGTTGGTAGCAGCACTACTAGACAAAGGTACGGCGGTTCTGTCACCGCGCTATAATGCATATTTACCCAACAACTCTTTGAAATACACCAAATGACTGCAATAAGTACATACCTACTCCAGACCGAATTCGTGAAACAGTAGAAACATAGGTAAATTTTTAAATGTTTTAATGTATGTACTAAAATTTCGTTTCCGTGTAGCAACAATTTCATGTATAGTCGGAAAGATACAAAATGCTGTCTACACATTTGGGAGAAATATCCTGCCAATCAATATTTTTAATAAGTCTGAGAACTTCATGTGGTTCTGCTAATTGAAGATCCTTAAATGTGTGGGTTCAAGCTCATAAGTTCCTGAACCAACTTACAACTAGACAAATCACATTATGCCCATCTGTTCAAATGATTTGCAAATCAACACAGCCTTATTGACCTTTCAGGAATTATTTTTATTTTGTATAAAAATGAACATGTATCATAGAATTTTGATAGTTTAAGTCAAGTAATAATAATAATTCTTTAGGATCTGTTGGTGTCTCACCTATGGATTCGTACATAAATAATAATTTCTTTCTTCGGGTTCGGGCTGGCTTAAAAATTGGATCTATCTGTTATTAGAGCAGATAAAAAAGCTTTGGTACTGTTTCAAAATTCTGACAAAATTTTCAAACAATACGACACCTTTGGTAAAAATCCATAGATTCAGACTGCATAGCTTTTTTATGCGAGCAGCTATGCAGGTCTAGAAAGACCAGTATCACTGCAACCTAAAACATCTACTGTGAACGCTGCTATGTCTATAATTCACTGCTAAGCCCTATGTCTTCAATGAATAGAAGTTGCCTAGCTGTGAGCAAATTCACTTCTTCTGGTCGAAGTAGATAGTTTCCCAGATTTGTTACGTTTGCGCATTAGTCAGGATCAGTCAGGATGTGCAGAGGGGTTTCTTCCGTTAAGGAACAAAACCTGCACATCCTTGAGTTGCTTAGTCCCAGGATGGCCATGTGCTTTTTAAGACAACAGTGTCCAGTCAGAGGTCAGGGCTCTCGCCAGAATGCGCAGTTTATTTTTACCTAATCCCAGGGCTTCTGAAGCGAATTTACGATCAAAAGCCCGGATTAAGGTTTTAAAGTGTTTTAATCCTAGTGTATCAGACCAGACCTTAAGTGATTTGATCTGATGTGAAGTTTGATTTCAGCGCTAGCAGTGCTGCTTGACTATTAGAGTATATAGATTATATGATTGACGTAGTGTTTTTGCAGATTAATTTCCGCTCACTGAAATATGACAAAAATTTTTGCCTGTAAGATACAGGGGAATCTACCCTAACTCATACAAAGTTTGAATTTGAGGCATTCTCTAAAAATTTCAAAGCCTACGTCGAGGTCCATTTTTGACCCATCAGTGTACCATATAAGGCTACCGACTTCACAGATAACCTGTCCATTCAGCCAGTCCTTTTTGGAGGGTAGTCCCACTATATACTTTTTATTAAAAGTGTATAATGGACGCAGGATATCTGAGATCATGCATAAGACCCGTGTTCCCTTAGTTGAGTCGAGCTTGAATCTCAATTTTTGGAAGGTAAAGCAAGCGCAGACCGTCCTGGGCCTTAATCCTATACAAACTAATCCTCGCCTTCTGGTCTAAATAAAGATCAAGGGGCGTTAGGCATAGAAGTGCATTAAGAGCTGCTCCAGGCGATGATAGCATCGTTCCAGTTGCCATTAAGCAGGCAGTTCTTTGTAGACTAGTCTGTCCGCAGTCGTCCTTTAGTTGGCCTTATTACACCAGACAATGGAGGCGTAGGTGATAATCGACCTCACTATGCTGCTGTACAGCCATAGAATCATACTAAGACGCAATCACCAGATGTTTCCAACCATACGACTACACGTAGCTAAAACAATAAAAGCTGTATGACATACGTGGCTTAGATGAGAGTTTCATGTTAGTTTTTGGTCGATTGTTACGCCCAAATACTCAACTTTGCGGAAATCCGCTATATTGAAGTTGTTAGATCTTAATTTGTTCATTTCGCGTAATAAAATACAATGATGTGTCCTGTCCAGTCTGATGAGCATCCACCTCCCACACTCTCTCATTTGCATACACTATCCCCTTCACCACCACGTCCAGCAACACCGCTCTCAGCACTACGATTCCCTGGCGCTGGGAATCGTGGTGCTGAGAGACTAGGAACGACACCACCCTTGATAATACGACATGTGTTTCGTCTCTACACGAGGCATTCTCAGATGAAGTAGATTCTGGGGAGGCTGACATTGTCTTCGTCACCTCTAATACTATCACCACCACTACTAGCACTCTATTCCCTCTCCAAACGCTGCTATTTATGCAACTTGTTGATCGGCAAGTTGTATAAATAGCAACTGTCTCGGTTCGCCGCTAACTTAGCCTTTATCCATCGCAGAGACTACTTCACCTGTAAATGCCTAGTGTAGGGGCGAAACACGTAATGTATTATCGAGAGTGGTGTGTCGTTTCTAGTGTGGTGGTGTTGGGTGTGGTGGTACTAGGAGTGGTGGCTACGGGGATAGTACATGCAATTGAGAGGGGTTGGGAAGTGCTCTTTAGACTGGGAGGACACATCATTTTATTTTATTACGCGAATGTGGACAAATTAAGTTCTAATAACTTCAACCACATGGATTGAAAAATGCCTCACAATATTGCGTAAAATTATGGTTGAAACACCTTTAATTTTCCTGCCATGTTCACACCATTATCGTACCCTTGACCTCGACTATCATTCATGTCTTTTAAGTCAAACACTTGTACAAATGCATCAAGAAAGAGGCCAGTAAGTCCTTTTTCCGAAGAGTCACTTACTGGCTTGTAAACTACAAAATACTCGTGCTTTGACTTCCTAATTAGCGTCAACAAAACGGGATATTAATGATAAGAGTGAGTGGATTGGTGACCGGTGCCCGGTTGATTTCGACGAACCCCCCCTCCCACCAAATTACCGCCATAGGGCCGCCATTGTTCGACTATACAATAATCTATGAACAACGGCTTTATGTGCTCTCCGAAGCAACACTTGTTTAAGTAGCTTCCCGAAGATATATCTTAGTTGGATTTGTCGTTTGACCATTCGGGAGTGAAGTAATCCTTTCTCGACAAGGGGCGGCGGCCGGCGCTGGTGGAGTTGCCGATGTGTGTGACAGCGTTCATGTGGCCCTGCCAACATGCGTCAATGGTGGAACACCATGGGATTTTAGTCAATACGAGTCCGAAGTATCCCGTCCTTGCCCTCGTTAGGCCGCTCGGCGAAGGCATTTCCCCATGTAATAAAAAAGTAGCTTCGGTCCACGTACAGACATAATAGTAGATTACACTCCTTTCAAACCTTTTATCTATACTTCGGCAAACGAGAAGCGATACTAAATATAAATAACCAATGCAAGGTTATTGGGAATAGCAGGGGTGCGTAACTTTTTGATAGTTAGATATTATATTTAAGTAGCCAATATAGTTTCAAAAAATGTTTAGCAAACCAAAAAATAGACTTTTTATAAATTTTGTTATAATTTAAATTATTGTATGTAATGTGTAATGTAGATTTAAATTAAATAAATGCTATCTGCGCAATCTCTGTTCTGTATGGGTATTTATCATTAGGCCAAGTTTAGGTATTAATAACCATATGTTTTTCATTCACAGAAAAACTAGTCACCTAAAATTAAAAATTAATTTAAAATGATATAAATACTTTACTTACATTTTTATTATTACAGTTGCTGCTTTTTAAATAACTTTATACTAATTATTTATTTAATTAGATAACTTTAAAGTACACTCCGAACCAAGAAGTTTTAAATAAAACTACTAAATCACGTTCATATATTATATCCTATTTCTATACATACCTTTGGACGTTTCTTTTTCGGAGAAGTAAAATCTGTTGATTTATCTCTCGACGTACTTGGTTGTGGCTTCATCATTAACCACTCTTAATAAAAAACAATTATCAACAAAACAAAATAACAATAATTAAATAAACAACAATTACTAAAATGGCCTCCCGAATGTTGGCAAACCCGTCTTGACCATGAATAACCTTTCCTATCGCTGCTAGTTGGCCATACTATAGGTAATATTTATTTCATACATTGGAAATGTAGAATCCTATAAATATTAATATAACGTCTTTTTACTAGTTCTTATAATTTAAAATTTGTTTTTTTTATTAGCTGACTAAAAAAGAAGGAGATCCTTAATTCAGCCTTATATATTCTTTTTTTATATGTATTACACGTAGGCCTACTTAAAAGCTTTTTTAAAATACTTTTTTTAAGTTGACTCTTACTTTTATTGTAGGTATTATAAAATATGTAGATATGTTACTACTCTAAGCTTTTTTGTTATAAATAGTTATAAACAAACTAAAAAGACATTTCAATATGACATTGTGATTTGTGACGTTTGCTATGTAAAATTTTGATATTCGATATCAGTATTTTGTATAATATTTTTAACGTAATAGTTTATTAAATGGCTGCAATAAGTACAAGAGCTAAATCTCCCACGCGTTCTGAAGCGATATCTAAAGCATTAAAACCACGACCTGTGTACAGTCCTGGAGTTTTATTAGGTAGTTAAAAAGTAATACCTTCATGAACTCAATACTATTTTACTGTTTCACCTGGCTTAGCCTATCAAAAGTCATTCTGGAAGGAAAGGAATGACTGGTGAGCATGACAATCGACTGGTTATAAACTTTTAAGGGATCCGCCTAACTTAAGTGCCTTGAGAACCTATGCGCGGAAAAACAAGAGCTGTTAATATCGTTATAAATTTCCATAATTACTTTAAAATTTAGAAAACTTATACTTAGATTACATTTTTTTAAAAGTTTTATAACTTCAGGCAATTGGGTCGAAGATAGAATAGAATGCCCGAAAGGCGGGACATTGTACTTCCCACCTGAAATTAATATTGAGTATGACAAGCTAAAACCAGAATTAAGGCAATCGGATTTTCGCGTTAACAAACTAAATAGCTGGCAGGTTTGACCTTTTCTTTTGTAACGATAATACTTACCTAATTATTGAACTGCCCTTTGTTCAAACCCTTCTTTACGAAAGTGTGTCCAAGCCTATCTCACTCACTCAACACCCGTTACGGGTGCACTGGAGTATCTAACATAAAGTAACAGCTTTTATTAATCCCACTGTTGGGCACGGGCTACCCATTTCTGAGGGTTTTGGTTTTGGAGTAAGGAACACAGCGCCTTGTCATGCTTAAATGCGTGTTGATGGACTTTTAAAATATTCTTCGAAAAATATATTTTTTAATTTCTTAGACATGCAGAGTGCGAAGGAAAACCTTGCAATGTTTTCCTTCACAGCCAAGGAGTAATTTTCATATTCTGGAATTATACATTATTTACTTACTTACGATTGTAATGGAATAGCTAACATGTGTTATTATTTTAGACCCTATTTAAACAATTTACTTACCCCATCTATTATCTAGTCTTGACTTAAGATTGATGGAAGCTTGGATCCAAATCACAGATACTTAAATTATTCTACATTCAAACTCAAAAATCAATAAATTACATTTAAAAATAAATATTTGCTTAGAGAAGGGCCAATAATCTTTTATGTTAATAAATATAAAATATGAATACCCTGGTACAGAAGTAAATAAACAAAGTAAATAGTTAGGTACTAACTATTTACTAACTTCTTATTAGTTTGTGGGAAACATACATTATTTTGTGTCACTTTAGACTTGAATGAAATTTTTTTTGTGTAAGCATAAGCATTCGAGCTTTAATAAAAAAAAAATGGAATAAAGGTGATAAAACAATCACGCAGTCCACCTGATGGTAAGTGGATGCTATCGCGGACTATGATCAAAATGTAGATGAGTTGCGTTGTCACTCATGAGGACGTAAGTAAGTAAGGTAAAGTATACGGAGCAATTACTTAACTATCGAATACAAATCGTAACGTAAGTAATTACTTTTACTTGTTTATAAATACGGATAGAATGCCTCGTTAGCAGTAAAAAAGGTATTCAATTGTCTACACTTACCATACGAAACATAGAGCATGCTGAGCAGCTGCTATTTTACGCTTGTATTCTGTGAGAGCGCGGTCCTTCCCGGTTAAGTCAACCCATTAGTGCTGCTTCCATAATATAGCTGCAGCGTGTCTTGCACGTTAAATAAAATTAATATATTTTTCGCGGCCCTTTAAATAAATTTAATTCAACTCTTTTGCAGGGTAACGTTGTGTCAGTGATCCGCAATAATAGTCACGACGCATGCGGTAACTTCGTCACAACCAACGATTTGGTCTATAATCATCTTCCAAAATCGTTTTGCGGTCCCATTCAACGCCATTATAAGAGAAGTGCGCATCAATTCTACCCACAACCTGACCTGATGCAGTGTTTTGTATGTTAACTTTTAATTTATATCCATGAAAGTGGGCGAAAGTAATAAACTATACGCGTCCCTCTGCTGGGTATAGGCCTCCTCCCCATAATCAGTAACTACTTAAAATTGCATTTTACGATGTCATCGAAGATAATACTTTGTTATAGGAACAAAATACATGACATTGGAAAGCCTTTTAAAAATAGCAATAAAGTACTTTTGGTATGTATCAGCTTGGCGACAGTTTGGAAGCGCGGACGAGGATTTTTCTTATCTTAGGAGTGTGCTCATTTATCTACTCATGTGGCTCAGGACCGTTCACTGTAGCCTAATTGTACTAGTTTGTGGTGGACTTTATGATGACAATATTGAAAGGAGTCAGTTCTTTGGGGTATGTTAGTGTTCACATGACATCGAATTATTGTCTCGTGCCTGGTCTGATCTCCCTCCGCTTGAATCGGATTGGGTTCCCATCGGACTATGAGAGTTAGGGCAAGGGTTCCTAAATTTTTAAGGTAATTGGACGAGTGTCCTACGTGGATGTGTGTCAAATCCATTTTATTTTATGCAACCCCACACCTAATTATTCAAATCAAAGACTGTGCAATTTCAAATAAAAACAAAAACTTTAATGGTTAAATTATGAAAAAAGACTGTTTTATTAATAACTAGCTGGTATCCGGCGTGTTGCAGCAAAAGAAATACTTGTGGAAATGTTGTTTTAAATTTGGAAGAGTTTTATAGTTTAATTAGGAATGATAATACATTCATTTAAGTTTAGTGATATAATATGACTTTGAAGTAAATTTGTCGGTACGATACGCGCGCCACCTAATGTAAGTTAATTGTACTTCTATGCCCATAACCTTCGCACAAGTGCAGGAAATAAGTTAAAAAAGTTTTATTGCAACCTGATGAACAGTGTGGCAGCGCTTTAAATACGAACAAATATCAATTTTTATATGGATATTAGATTTCTTTACAGTTCGGTATTACGTCCGACAGTTGTATGCGCATGTCTGAGGTAGCATCTAATCTAGACCTGATATTTGTTTTCTGTATAAGCTGTAAAACATTGTTCCGACCACCTACTGAAAACTCGCCACCGCGGGTGTGAGACGCAATCCGCCATATCGCGCACCCGTGCCGCGCCGTGGCATAGTCCCAAATTTTTGCTAATTACTTACGTTCCTACATAACAGTAATGGGTTCTCTTCATCACATATTTTAAATTATTACAAAGTAATATTCGTACTTATAATTTTTGTAACTATGGAATTGTTTAAAAAACAATAATAAATAATTTTTACAAATTCTATTTTAATAAAAATTTAATAAGTATCTAATTTTTATTAAAATAGATTTTACCACGGAACCCACTTTAGGAATCCCTGAGTTGGGTCCAACGAGAGCTGCTACTGGCGGCTTCGTGCACGGGTCTGACTCCCACATAGAGCAAGTGTTTGTATAATCTAGAAATAATTGTTCCGGGTCTGAATGTTTGTCCTCGCGAAAATTATATATGTAATCTTCCTCAATGAAACAGGGAAAATCCTAGTACGAGAGTAACGTTTCTTTTTTAAATAATAAGTAAAAAACGACTGCTGAACATTGGCCTCCTCCATAAATTGCCACATAGGGAGGATATTTGCCATAGCTGCCACGCTTGGCCACGGGTCGGCACCCGCAGTTTTTTTGTTTTTAGACGTTATTAGAAAGACGCTGCCGTCCATTTCCTGATTTCTTTCTGTCTGTCGCATCATACGACACCCATGGAATGATATGGGGTGGTTGATATTCTTATACGGTCACTATAAGGTATAATGGCTCCGTCACTCTATGCTTCTCGCATTGCTCACTGCTCTGCTCCTCGCGCTGCTCCTCGTGCTGCCGCGATGTTGTCCTCTCTCTCACACTGCTCTACTCTACTCGTGCAATTACTCGCGACACTCCGCACTAAGCCCAAAGAGTATAATAAGTATATACAGGAAACTAAGCCGCTCGCGTTTGCAACACAATGGTTAATTGAAACTGTGGCAGCATGCACGATATATGCATGTTTAGTTTAGCTTATTATATCAATTTCATAAAAAAGAAACATAGTTCGTCGACCTCGCCAACGGAGATGGTGGATGACATCTATTCATCGCAATAGAACGACGCTTCCGTAACGAGTGTTCGATTCGAACTGCGTTCGCGCGATTATGTAGCCGGCCACTCGCGCTCATACAGGTCCTTTGACTTGCGCTTAAAAAACCGAGGGAGCGGTGGGCAATACGAGTATTGTGGCACACTACATCTCTGCCTCCTTTCCTCACTATTTCTCATACCACTCGACGAGTGCGTGGCAAGGGGGTAAGAATATCTACTAATGGTACGGTAGTCAATAAAATTATTAGTTAATTGAGACATTTTATCTCACAACTTTTATGTTAGAGCTGAACTGAAGTTGTGTTATGGCTGCAGTACGAAGAGATCGTTATAATCAGCATTTTCATAGTTAATCGAACATGGATTTGAGCTAGACCTTAGCATTTATTTACGACTAGCTGATACCCGCTCGCTTCGGGATTTTTTTTATTGCGGAACCTACATTTAAAATATCAAGATTTTTTTTGGTAAAATCAGTTCTTAGTGAAGCGTCTACATTGCGAAATGAGTAACTATACTAAATTTTAAGTCAATCGGGTGTATAGTTTTAGAGATCTCGTGATGAGTCAGTCAGTCAGTGGTATTTATATACAGGGATATTTTGCGAAAACCGGCCGGCAGAAAGGTTCGGAATAAATAATATAGGCAAATGATTAAAATTAATTAAAAAAATACAAACACTGGGGTCTTTTTTATTTCAAAATGTGTGGAAATGCATTATTTTAAATGATTTTTATTTCACATATTCGTAAGGGTCGATCGGTAGGCAAAAAGGTTGTTGCTCGTAAATCTATTTGGGATACTTTCAAGTAAAAGTCATCATCATCATTCCCTTTACAAGTCCACTGCTGAACATAGGCCTTCCCCAAGGAATGCCGTAAAGCACGATCCTGAGCCACCTGCATCCATCGACTTCCTGCATGTCTTACCTACTGTCCTACTCTTCGGCTCTTCGCCTACCGGTACGAGGCTGCCACTCCAGAACCTTTTTCCTATCGGTTGTCGGTTCTTCGAGCTATATGGCCGGCCCATTGCCACTTCAACTTACTAATCCGTTGGGCTATATCGGTAACTCTAGCACTACTGCGGATATCCTCATTTCTAAGTTTATTACGCAGAGAAAACTCGAGCAGCCCTCTCCATAACTCGCTGAGCAGCCTTGAGCGTCATCATACGGCCAGCAGTGAAGTACCACGTCTCAGAACCATAAGTCATCACTGGCAACACGCACTAGTTGTACAATCTCGTTTTCAGGTTTTGAGAACGAACCTTACCCAGCCGAATTAAATCCGTCGATTGACCCTTCGGACGAAGTTGGACTTACCTAGTCGGACTATTTGTCCCAAGTAAAGTGTTCCCAACAACTACCGTCATAGGTGTAACATGGACGATACAAAAAGTAGAAGCCTTATTTACTCGTATTTTCAAAAACTGCAATAATAGTATATCATTATTTATATATTTGAACTCAATTTTAAAAATTTGGCTATTCTTCGTAAAATAACACTGTATAATATATAGAACTCGCAGACTGCAATAAAACTGTATATTATAAATATGATAAAAGCGAATGGAAAGGAAATGCTTTTGTAAAAGGATTTATCCATGAGTCAATCTTCCACAGGGTAATATCACGGAGTGGGGTCTTAAAAAATATCTAGAACACGAGTGGGCTTGCAGTGATGTATCAGACTATATGACCACTCTCTATGAAGACACCTATGCTCCTCCCCAACCTTCGCAGTATTTGCAGGGACCTGATCGTAAAGCGCGAAGTTCGTGAGTATTTTTGATTTTTTTTGAAGAACAATAATCTTTGGATGAATATAAGACAGCCCAACAGATCAGTAAAAGAAAGGTAATGGGCAAGCCCTATAGCTCGACGAACCGACCACCGATGGTGAAAAATATTCCTGTGGTTGCCTCCTACTGGTCTCTCTGGTAAGATATGCAGAAAATCGATGGATGTTGGTGACTTTATCGTAATAATAGGATATTTTCGAATTTTCATTACTATTATTATTAGAAATAAAAACATAATTACATTTTATACATTTTTATTACAGGAGCTTCACAAAAACATTCTGTTTCAAGATGACAAAATCAAAACAGAAAAGGAAATCATGATAACATCAAGAATCATTTTCGTCTTTCTGAAAAATATCATTAGTCTTTAAATATCACATTTTGTTCGAGATAAGGACAGTGACGTCCATATAAAAAATTGTAACAATATAATAATTCTTAATGCTTCCATATATCCGCCACCTGACACCAACACGAGATCAGAATCTTAACTCTACATTCAAACAACTTATAACCACTTAAAAACTAATGCGTGTGATAACTTAATAGGATACTTAACATAATGGCAGTTCATTAAGTTTTAGTAAAGTCGATCGAAGTAAAAAACAAAATTGTTAGTCAAAATTAGTACAAGTTCAGATGTCTAGCATCTGAACGTTAACATGACGTAAAAGAATTGTCTTGAGGCAATTTTATCAGTCCGGACCCACCAGGGGTTTTAAACATACTGTTTGGAGTGAAGGGTTGCTGCTGTGCAAAGACATTCTGTGATACAAAAGACTGCTGAGCAAATCTAGGCTGAGGTATTTGTACATGGCTGTTAAACTGCATTTGTGGGAAGACAGGTGAACTTATTGGAGTAAAGCTGGAAGGGTTTTGGAAGCAATAATTGCTCGTACTGCAATTCTGAAAACGGTCTAGAAGAAGGGAATTCCTGTCAGGCTCCCCACATATAGAATCCTCGCGTGATGAAGGTTGAGAGAACAAATTACGCTGATTCATACTAGAAGTTTGTGATTCAAACCCTGAACTTTGACTAGATGAGCGGCTGCCGTTTATGCTAAATATCTGCCGCTCACCCTCAGAGCCCCAGTACCCTCCAGCAACCCAAGATGTGCTATGACCTAATTTACTCGGTGATATAAGTGGTCGAGTACGAGTTAGAGGCGTTGGAGCTACAAAACTGGGTGTAGCATTGAATTTACGCATGCCAAACAATGGGTTTTTCTTCACATTTCTTTTCTTAGGACTAATACATAAGGTACTTATGCTCTCGTCTAACTCTGAATCTGAATCACTTTTAACCAAGTTCTGATATTTATTAAAAGATGGTTTTCTAAATACTGTTTCAGATACAGAGCTTGGGCTTTTAGCTATAACGGAATTTACACAAAATGTTGAATTAAGTTTTGGTTTGCCCCAAACACTTTCTGTGCGTGGAGTGAACGATCTGCCATTGTTTAAACTATTACTTAATGGGCTAAGAGTCTCATTGGACGAATCTGTGAAGTGGTGCAGGCCAAATTTACTGAGAGACACATCATCATCAGTGTCAAGGGACAGATTATCTTCATCATCATTTAAGGAATTCATTGTTCCATTTGCAAGATTTTTTACTTTTTTTGGTGTTGATTGTATCTTTAATGTTGTTCTAATAGTCTTTGTTTGCATGTTTCTATAAATTAACATAAGTCCCAATATGCTCGACAACTGAAACAGAAAGAAATTTATAGAAATATTTACAGAACAAATATAATTAATAATGTTTGTATTTCATTTTACACTAAATTTACCTTGACACTGGTCATCAAAATAGGCTCCAGAGCAACTGAATTATGAGCTATGGATGTGGCTACAAATACTGACCACAATAAGTCAATTACTATACTATATTTTAGTTTGTTTATATTCCAAACATGTCCTACAATTTGTATAAAACATACAAAGCCTCCTAAAGCTTTCTGCGTCAAGTCATTAACACTATTCAAGTGTCTTGTATTAAAATTTTTAAACATGTCCATATTACCTATATTATGCATGTCATAGAAATTATTTTCTAAAGAAGGGAATGTCAAAATTGTCTTCATTTTAACTATTGTAATTATTCTTTCAAAAAGACCAAGTAATATATCTCTAATATTATACACTGTATTTAATAAGTTCTTGTGTTTCTCTATATTACTTAAGAACTCAAATGCTACTAGTATAAAAAGTATTCCTGCTATCAATGTGGAAGACCCATTTATGAGCTTTCTTAAAATTTGACTGTGTTTTTCTTGCTGCTTTTGCTGCTGTTTCTTCTCTGGTGTCCTTGTTTCTAATAATTTAGAACTCAAAAATGTTTCCTTTTCTTTATGGAGCTTTGTTTGAAGGACTTTTTTACAAGGACTACACAATTTGTATGCTTTTTCTAACTGCAATCTGTAAAAATATAATGTGTATATTATTAAGCCAGAAAATTATTTGAATTTCGAATTTAAATGCAGTGGCTTCTTTTTTTACAGTAGTGGCTGAGAGAGAAACCTAAATGGTACATTTTATAACCCACCTGTATGATTCTATTTCCTCATCAAACTTTTTTTCATTCATAGGAACAAAATTAGCCAACTGTGACACTTTAAGTTGCTGATTTATGTTACACATTTTACACAGACCATTCTTTGGTGAACTCTTTTGGAATACCTTTGGGATTTTGCATGTTTGCTCATTGGTGACATTAAGCACCCTGTTGTAATCACCATCCTACGAAAAATATAAATATATCAAATACTTTCCCAAATAAACATTTTTTACTTTAATTTTATAAAACATGCAATTCAAATAATCGTGCCTTATGCTTGCTTAAAAGATGTGAGAAAAATAAGTTAATAATGCGTCGCTCTTCAGTGTTTGTTAACTTAAAATAACCGAAATAAACATAAATACGTGAATATAGTTGATGTGTCTCCTATAAAAGATTCAACAAACAATCAATGTTCATGTTATTATTATTCGATAATATCAAAGATACAACTGAAAAATTTGAAAATCGGTATACCTTAGTGAATCCATTGTACTGATCACATTTGGGACAAATCCAACAATTACGAACTGGAAACTTGACCCAAACGTTACAGTTACAAAACCAACAATTTACACGCCATGGCAGTGCGGACCTAAGAACAAATTTTTAATAGAATTAACATCTCTTATCAGGCGGGAAAGTACGTAACCTAATTTATTATTACAAGAAACTTACCGAAGGTTGTGAAGAAGTTTTAAAAGTAATACTGTACAAAGAATTGCGGTTATACTTATCAGCGCTAATTCTATTTTATAATGAAACTTCATTTTTACTTCAGGTTTGTTGTATAATTTATAAAATCTTAATCATATTGTAATTTGTAACTATAACCTAACATTTCACCCACCCACCATCGTTTTTTTATTTTTATTCATTGGGTTGACGCTTTATAGCTCTGGGTTCTGGCCCATCTGAGCCTATCCTACCATCATAGATTAGTTACCGTATATATTAAACTATTTCAGTTCATACAATGTACTCTGTGACTAGAGACCCACCATCATTCAACTGCACCTTTGAGTATTAATCCAAAGGAGACGGCATCGCCAAGCATACTCCTGTGTAAAAGGTACGAGAGTTCGACTCATACCCGTTATATAAAACTAGTTGCTTCGCGTCGTGCGTCCGAAGCGATCGTGCCAGTAAATCGAGCTCCGACAAAATGCCGAATTGCAGTATATTTACATGAAAAAAAAAACAAAAACGTCAAGTATACAAAAGGACAAAGTGACTTTTTATCTGTGAGTATTTTTTAACATAACATTAAAGTAATTTTATCATTAAAACTCGTACTTTGTGAATATTTTCGTCCAATACCAAGTGTGGCCATCATAGTTTATAAAGTGAAAAATAATCAATTTTTAAATAAATATAATTTACTACACAAATTAGATATATTAACGGAAATATATTTCCTAATAACTAAATCAGTTTGTGATAAATAATAATCACTACATATAGATGTGTAGTAGATTTTTTAAATGATTTATATATTCAGCACAATTTCAACACGATACCGAATATTATATAATTTAATATAATCGTTAACTAGTACTCATCAAAATATTATACAAAATAAAAGCCAAATAAGACAAATCGAAACTTGCTACTTCGCAGCAAAAGTGTGCCATTTTTATAAAAATAAACTGGTATCACTGCAACCGAAAGTATTGCACTATAGTGATGAACGCCACAACTTTAGCTATCGATAAGTTAATTAACCATGCGGGTTTGTCTGCCAAACCAATTTGTAGTTTTTATTTAGCTTTTACAATAAAGTATTACAAAAAGTAGTAAATTTTTCTATAATTGGTTGTTTTTACAAATTTCCAAAAGATCCTTTTAGGCAGCAAACTTGAATTGTAGCTTGTAGAAACCATGAATCTTGGATACCTAAACGGACTAGCACCATTTACTCCGAACATTTTGAAAAATCGTATTTCATACCCCAAGCTTACAATAAGAAGGTTAGCCGACACTGCAGTAATTATATATATATATATATATATATATATATATATATATATATATATATATATATATATATATATACATATAATATATATATATATAATTACTGCATATATATATATAATTACTGCACATATATATATAATTACTGCAGTGTCGGCTAACCTTCTTTTATTGTAAGCTTGGGGTATGAAATTCGATTTTTCAAAATGTTCGGAGTAAATGGTGCTAGTCCGTTTAGGTATCCAAGATGAATGAATCTTCTGACTACTGACTTCTGACTGATAAAAAAAATTAATTGTACCTTGGTCATGGATCAAATGAAAAATAGGTTATTGACGGAATATAATGCTAGCAGCCAAAGGCATTATATTATGTATATAACCAAAATGTCTTTTAGAACTTGCATAGTACTCCATCAATTGTTTTATTTTCATTTCATCTATAACTAATATACAATACAATTTTTTGTCAGGGATACTCTCTAGTCTAAATTTTAAAACAGTTAACGCTTTTTTTTATGTAACCAAGTCGGCCATCAATTGTACATTAGTTTAGCAAAACATCTTTCTGGGGAATACTTAGCCCTAAGTAGAAGTCACATTTTATTTTTAAGTAGCTGTATGCTTACAGTTCACTTTGAGTGAATGTCAGTGTTCATCAAAACGTTCTCAAATGATGATCTTTCAGACATGCGGCTATTGATTTTAATAATATGGATTAAAAACTTTCTGAACGCAAAATGAAACCAGTGACTATATTCAAGAAAGCTTAATCTGCTTGAGTGAAAATATTTCAAAACATGAAGTTAGGCAGGATCTTGGTAATGCCGGGCAACGGAGGCGTAACAGAATCAACTACCTCCTTCTAAATAATTTATATTATTATTTAAAAGCTCTAAGAGCCGAAACCATCGCGTGAGTAGCGTAAAAGACGACAAAGGGAAATAGAACAGGAGATAGGCATTAGTATCTCCCTGATGACAACTCAAAATAATAAAAAAATACGATTGTTAAACCTCTTGCTAAGAGAGAGAACTATGGTAAATATTCTCCCTTCGTTTAGCAGTGGACTTTTGATAGGCTGTAATTAATGAATTAATGATGACTAATATTTTTAGGGAGCAGAGCAATAAAACGGGTAACACGTTCGTAATCGATTTATTGGTAGTTGTGATCTTGAGACAAAAGAGAAGGCAGAATACGGTCGTGCCGCTATTATTGTACTATCGTAGCAGTACCTTCTGTGTACGTTCCGTGAAGCAAGCCCAGTGTCGATTAAATAAGTACAGTTATTATTCCCTGAAACTTGAACAACTGAATTTCAAAGTATTATAATGATTCACTATTGTCGTATCATGGCAATAGTTAACAATCTAATGAAATACCTGGAAATATTGTAATACATTTTTTTTTCTTATAACTAAATTAAATGTTCAAATTGTTTGCTTCGGCACAAATATAGGGTCTGCATCGCCTCAGAAAAGATCTTTTCACTAATTGTGCTATCTCCTTGAGTTTATTTCCTCAACTGTTTGAGCTACTTTGTGGTCTTGTTCGGCTAGATTTTGTATATGTTTTAAATAATTTTTTCTTTTATGCAGCTCCAGTAAATGAAATGAAATGCATGAGCATATTGTGTAGAAAAGATTTTTTAAAACGAAAATCCCGAATGAAATAAAAATATGGCTTAAAGAACAAGCATCCAAGCCTAAAATCTTAATAAAAAAATCAACGTCGAGTCGTCCACAGTGTTGCCACCTTAGCTCTTTTCAGGCTAGATCTAGCACTTGTTAGATTAGGCGAACTCGTTTTTTGAAGTTTTAGCCCATATGCCCCATTTACATTCAGCCTTGTTGGGCAGGGAAGTGAGTAGGGAAGTGGGCAGGGCAGTATGTAAATAGGCTACTCGCGCGGTCACTGCCGCTGCTGCTGCTACTGCCCAGCGCTCCCTCAATTGTCGGTTTTTCGCACGGAAGTCAAAGGACGGGCAGCCGAAGTTTGACCGAGAAAGAACGTGCTACGTTTAAAAACGTCAATTCGTTTATTATTCTGTCCAGTGTTTTAATGATATTTAGTAATGATCAAACATTTTTTCAGAATTGTATGAAATGCAGTGGTTAATATAAGATCTTCATGATAAAAACCATAAATTGCACATATTACCTACTTATACTGAACAGACATAATGCTGTCACACCAACAAATTTGACGTCAGTCATTGTTGAGAGTTGATCAATAAAGGAACAAACAAAGAAGAACAATGACGGCTATTTCTGCTAAAGAGACACTCAAGCGCAACAAGGCTGTATCACGCATGATTCACCTTGCAGAAGCATTTTGTTTGATACTTGAAGATATTGATGTAGTTTTAGCACAATATAGAAATATTGAAGAACACGACTGGGAGAACAAAGACGCCACCACCAAATTTTGGTGCGAAGTTTTCAAATACAAGGATCCTGCTGGAATCAACTTGTACCAAGAAGGAGGATGGTAAAAATTATTTTATCATTACTTTCGAACGAACGCTAATGCTGAACGCGATTTTAGTTCCATGAACCTAGATACAACTAAAACCAGGAACAAACTGGGGCTAAAAACAATGATATCAATACTATAATGTATAACTACCATTTGAAAAAACTGTGGAAGTAATTTAAAATACTCCTTTAAATTAACAAAAAACGCAGATGCCAGTCAGCCATCAACTTCTTCTGCTTCAGCAATTATAGTTTCAGATGATTCCGATGACGACTCCGATTTTGATTAAAAAATTAATGAGTGAATTTTAATGGTATTTAAGTACCTACTACATTTTAAATAAACAATTTTTAAATTGCATTTTTTTTGCCCGAAATATATGCACTGCGAGATGTTTCATCTTTATATTTTCTTCTTTTCTGCTGTGGCCGCTAAAACAAACGATATTCATAGCTGTGCCCGATTGAAGACGACACTCTTGTTTTGAAAGTTTTATCCAACGGACGTACACCGTGAAAAAAAAATTATTTTTAACTCTTTCTAGCACCTCTTTTGATGGCAGATTTTCTTTATCTAGCCCGTTTTAGATAGTCCATCTGCCCCTTTTCAAAAACCAAGGTGGCAACACTGGTCGATGGTAGTGTCGCCAACTTAGATTTGACGGAACAGCGAGGTTGGCAACGGGAAAAAATTGTGTTTAACGGCTAACGGATTTTTAACGGGTAACAAAAATTTATGTTTTTTTAGATTTGTTGTCGAAATAAAAATAATTTGGAAATGGCAAATATTAAATTATAATTTCATTAATTTTTGTAGTTTAAAAAATACAAAAATATGTGCAATACAATGAATGATTGACACTTGTCTACCATGAAGGTTAGAGAACAGGAGAACGATCACCATAGAAAATAGTATCCAGAAATATGGGCACCATAAGTGAGGCACTGCGATCGCTCGAGGTTCGGTCAATAAAAGTCACTTTGAGTCTATTTTTCCGATCAGATGCTAAACCACTTGCATATCCACGCACAATAAAATATTGCTCCATTTTTTAATGTTTCTTTTTGTCAAAAATTACAAAATTACGGAGCATGAAAATTTTCTCACCAATGCCGCGGAGAAAATGTGTACATTATTCAACTAACTTCATCTACTTGTACTCATAAACAGCTAACTTCGCAGTCACTACTCACCGACGTCAGCGCCGCTATAAATTCTACAACTTTCAAGGACAGGCGGGCTATGCTTTAGTACGTAGTGATCGTTCTCCTGTTCTCTAACCTTCATGTTGTCTACCGTACTTGACGGGATTATAGTGTTCTCTACAACGGGAGCTAGATTTTAATGTTGGCAACACTGGTCGAAGGTCGTCCAAAATCACAGACTAATATGATACGTATTTAGCTTGCTACATATTTATTTATCTATGTACGTATTCCAAAATCGAATTCAATGTCAAAGCCATGCCTTGTTGCCTTGTTGCTTTGTTGTACACTTTTTAACTTTACAGAAATAATTAAATATTTTCGTTGCTAATGATCGCATTTTAACTTTTGATTTAAGAAGCACAACATTAAGATCAAAGAAACATGTCTTCTAAAATAAATAATATGTTATTTTTGTGTAATTTTGACACAATTTTAAATAATTCAGGTTTGCATTTTTTCTCTAACGTTGTTAACTTAAAATCAGTTTTTGGTTATGTTTTTAATTTGAAAATTACTGTATATTTGTTGTTATTTTATTTATTTTAGAACTAGAGATTATTAAAAAATTGTGGTCAGGAAAATGGACTATCAATGATACTGAATTCTGTAAACAGCTGTTATCCTGTGGATTAGAGACGGAAAACTTATTAGATATATTCAAGAAATATTGGAAAGATGATGGCTTCAATGAAAAGATATTGGATTTAGCTATTAGTGCATTTTTAACTTACTGCAATATTAATTGGAACACCCTTCCTGATCAAGTCGATTTACAGCAATATTTTGGTATTGAATGGCCTAAAGGTACAGAAGTTTTTATAAAGCTGCAGTGTGATTCTGAACCATTGTATCCAAATGTAGTCAATCCAGAATTATTGTACTTTTCTTTACAAATATTTGGTGCTCTGTGTTCTTTGGAACAAAACTTGGTAAGTTATGAGCAATTTTATTGTATGATAAATTCTTTTAATGCTTTTATCCATCCAAGAAATTGGGGTTAAGTAGTTTTGGTTGGATTTTCTATGATTAGTTGGTTGCCTAAGACTTATGAAAAATGGTGCATACACCAAAGCTGTGCTGCCTTGTGGTGGTATAGTTGAAGCACACACTTATCATACTAGGCAAATGGTGAACCAGTATGACTTTCCATTGACGTCCGTCGAATTGGAGTTGGGAGGGGGGTGGGAGGAGGGGTACTACTCCCCCTTAAAAGGAAAAGTTGCGGAGCCCCCCCCCTGTTTGATTTTTTTCAATTTTAATTCTGAGGAAATTTTATTTTTTAGGGATAAATATTAAGTGTAAAAAACCATGGGGACCTCTTGGGGGAGAAGGGGTACCCCCTAAGGAAGGGGGAACCCCCTTTACAAGAATAAATAGAGGGACTCATTCAGAGGGATTTCTGTATCTATTTTGAGACTGCAATGTCTCCAGCGCTGCGGGAAGAGATAACAAATTTCAGGCATCCAGCCTCGCCTCCGTAGCTTCGGCTTGTTGGTCGCCTTCGGCGACCAGCCTCAGCCGCTCCGGCTCATCCGATGCCTACGATTTGTTACAGCAGGCGGAGGCTGCTCTCCCTACGCGCCTCCGGCTCTATAAAAACACTCTAGGGGTAGGACAGACTCGTACCACGTGGAGTCGGGGTCTATTGATTCAGTTCCTTGACATAAGTTGAACCTAACCTATTTTATTTGTTATCTGTCCTAATAGGTGGGTACTGTTTTATACACATGTTTTATACAATTTTATACACATGTTTTATACAATTTTATACACATATTGCTTTAATTAATTCTTAGAAATCGTCAGTTTTACGTTACATCCCACAAGCCGGCAAAAAACACTCATAATGATAATAATTCTGTAATATAAATATAAACTGTTAAATATATGTGTATGCATGAAAACTATAAAAATATCATATAATCTGAGATAGGGATTGACATAAATATTGCAAAAATAATTGATTTTCAATAATTTTTTAAAAATAAGTAAAATCAGTTAAATAAACGCGATAGAATCCGTAAATTTAGTTTTATTCAATGTGTAGTGTCTGCGTAAATTTAAGGAATCTTTAGGTAGGTTCGAGTTGTGCATTGGATTCACGGGGGGGAGGCATCCTTTGTGAATATGTGGATAAACAGATTGCAATTAGTTTGCGCCACTGTGAATCTGGCTTGACGCGTATTGTCTATTGTCTCAGTTCAAATGTGTCTATGGAAGTGGCCTAGTGGGCATTCATTATTTACTCTTTAGGTATTCATTGTACATCACATGACATTTTTCTTTTTATTATATAATATTTGATATGTAATCTGTCGGATTACAAGGTACTATTTTTCAAAAAGTTCAGGACTACCCAGAGGACTGTGGCAGTAGTCTATAGTCTGACAAATTTGATGATCTGACTCCGCCTTGCAAAACGTTTGTCGGTTACCGCAGGTCAACTGTATTTTCGTTTACAATTCTTATTAAGATGCAATAGCCTAATAGTAGGTTGCAAGCAGGGAACTGAAAAAGTTGGGGGTTAATCACCCGGAAAACAGCCTAATGTAAACTAAACTAAACTATACATTACAAATATTACTGTTAAAATCACCCCACATATGCACAAAATGCAACACAAGCATTTTGTGCATATGTGGGGTGATTTTAACAGTAATATTTAATAAATTACCCCACATATGCACAAAATGCAACACAAGCATATGTGGCCCCCCCCCCCCCAAACGGGTTCCCGCCTTGTCGTGGCGGGGGGCTTAGTAGCCGTGGCTTGGTCTCCCACGGTGAACAAAGAGGAACCCACGTGGCTGGCCCGAGGTGAAGGGCCGGCCTGATGTGGCCACTCCGAGTGGGCTTGGGGAGTCCACTTTGGATGTGTGCTGGTGGACTGCAGCGAGTGGGGACTCGCGCACCCTCTACCGCTGCAGCCGAGGTGGAGTCGCGGAGGAAGAGGAGTGTTGGTATGACGATGCGTCACTCGCCCTATCCTTCGCGACTCAAACGGGGATGGGGGACCGTTGATGCGGTGGTGGTGGGGCTGCGGGGGGAGAGGATTGTCGGTATTGCGAGGCGCCGCTCTCCCTACCCTCCGCAGCCGAATCTTGGTTGGCGGCGGAGCCATAGACCAGATCCGCCGCTGGGGTCGGGAAGGCTAGTGCTTCTAAGTGCTCGTTTTTCCTGGCCCCATGGCCTTTGTGCATCGGACGCGGGGGCGTCTGTTGCACAGACGTAATTGGAGGCCGTGGAGGAAGGCGCGCCATGTGTTCTGGTGCGCCTTACCTGGGAAGGAGAACGGGGAGGAATTTTCCTCTCCCGAGGAGGTGCTGCCATGGGGCGGCAGGCGCTAGTAGGGCCGCGGATGTGTGCGAAAGCGTTCCCGTAGCCCTGCCAATATGCGACAAAGGTGGAACACCATGGGGTTTTAGTCGGTGCGAGTCCGACATAACCCGTCCTTGCCCCCGCGAGGCGGGTATGCGTAGGCATTTCCCCATGTAAAAAAAAGCATATGTGGGGTGATTTTAACAGTAATATTTGTAATGTATAGTTTAGCTTAGTTTACAATGGGTTGTTTTCCGCAACTCCACGTCTAAACGCGTATTTTGCGTGTGGGCAGGAATAATGTGATTATTGGAGCCATGAAATCTCCCCGAAGAAGTTCAACAGTCCTTTGATGTTGCAAGCAATTTCGGGGAGCGATTTCATCGTGCCGTGATGTTTAGAACATGTGAGCCGCCGTTTCTTCCTCCCCCATGCATGCCCTGTACAGGGGCTATCTGTAACACCTATGGTAAATAAATGTTTGTTAAAGAAGCCATGTCCTGTGATAGTACTTGTTACTATTCTGATCTGTGTCTTGTTCAGTCTCATTAGAACGTTGGTTAGACTACTGTTTATTTCAGGCAGGGTCTTTTACCTTGTCTACAGTCTACTAGATTTTTCCAAAACTGAGCATGTAGATTATTGAAGTTTCAATGTACCAGTGAACGAATGTAACCAAAGGGGATTGGTATTATTAGTTCCGGCCCTATAGTGGCCAGAGTCGATCCATTTCTAGTCAGTTCATCGTTGCCTCTGGATCCACTGTGTCCCTTAATCCATTGCAGAGTCACATTGTTGTATTTACATACCTCATTTAAATGTTGATTTCATATATTAGCCCTGAGTTTTTCTATCAATTATACCTGTATGGGGCACTCTTTTTTTATAGAAGAGGTGGCAAACGAGCATGCGGCTCACCTGATGTTAAGTGATACCGCCGCCCATGATCAACCGCAACACCAGGGGAATTGCAGGTGCGTTGCGGGCCCTTTAGAAAAGAGTAAGCTCTTTTCTTGAAGGTCCCAAGGTCATATCGGTCCGGAAAAATCGCCGGTGGTAAACTATTCCACAGAGAGGTCGTACGCAGAAGAAAACTCCTTTTGAAATGTACAGTGGTGGACCGCCAAGCATACAGATGGTGTGGATGGTATCGGAACGATTGCCGCGTAGATCGTTCACGAAATTTGGCGGCTGGGATTAATCTGAACATTTCCTCAGAGCACTCTCCATGGTATATGCGAGAGAAAATGCAAAGAGATGCAACAATCTCTTCATAGCGCCAGTGAATCGAGCCGATCGGAAAGCACTCGGTCGTGGACGATTCGAGCCGCTCTGCGCTGGATGCGTTCAAGTGGAAGGAGCTGGTACTGGGGAGCCCCAGCCCAGAGATGGGAAAAGTATTCCATGTGCGGCCCAACCTGCGCCTTGTAAAGTTGCAGGCGGTGTGCCGGCATGAAATACTGTCCCGCTCTGCTGAGAATGCCAAGCTTTTTTGAGGCGAATTTGGTCTTCTCTTCCAAGTGACCACGAAACTGCACGTCACTCGATATGTCGACGCCGAGGATTCCGATACTGGCTGAGGCAACAAGGAGAGTGCCTTGAAACTGAGGAGATACGACAAAGGGGTTCTTTTTTGCGAAACCAGGATGCACCAGGATGCAACCTAAACGCCGTCCACTACCATCTCGAGACGGCGAGGCCGGCTCTGCTCTTTCTGACCGAGACGCAGGTGTCCTCTCCGGCTGATGCCTCGTATCTCTCCTACCCGGGGTACAAACTGGAACACTCCTTTGTGCCTCGGGCTGGAGTTTGCGTTTACGTCGGAGAGAACATCTGTTCTTGACGCCTCGGCAGACTTGAAGGTTCGGACCTGTCCATCCTTTGGCTACGCGTAGACAACGACGACCATCCGCGCGTCTACGGGTGCCTCTATAGGTCCCATAGCGGTAATGCCGAAACAGACCGACTCTTCGACCACGTCCAAATGGCTACAGATTCGTTGCTACAGCAGATCCCCTCCGCAGAGATCGTGATCCTCGGCGACTTTAACGCCCATCACGCCGAATGGCTTAGTTCACGTTTAACCGATCATGCGGGGGAGATCTGTTCATGATTTTGCCTTGGCATATGGTTTGACACAACTGGTTACTTCGCCTACGCGGATTCCAGATGTGGAGGATCATGCACCTTCCCTGTTGGACCTTCTGCTGACCTCTCACCCGGACGGATATCAGATTTCCGTTGACGCCCCTTTAGGCTCCTTGGACCATTGTCTTGTTCGGAGTGTGGTGCCACTCACGCTGAAATCGCAGTTGCAATCTGCAGGCTGCCGCCGTGTTTGGCACTATAGGTCAGCCGATTGGGATGGGATGCGGTCTTTCTTTGCATCCTACCCTTGGGGGCGGGTTTGCTTCTCGCCGGATGATCCCAACGTTGTTGCGGATTCTGTCACTGTTGTGGTACTTCAGGGTATGGAACTTTTTATTCCTTCCTCTGTGGAGGCAAATCTCAGCCATGGTTTGGTCGCTCCTGTAAAATAGCATCATGCTATAAGTAGGAGTGCTACCAAGCCTGGGCTGACGCATCAGCGTCCCGGGATGTAAACACCAGC